TTTTTGCTATTCAGTTTGTACCCTAAACCCAAAACATTCGTTCATCGAATCTGATATAATTCACAGAATAGCTAGACAATAAATTATATGAAAGAAGTAGAATTTCACTTATATAACACTGTCATCTTCAATTTCAAAATGGATTCTATCGAATATTTCAACAAATTATAATCTCAAAGATCAGCTTATCTTGTTTCCCAGTGAATGTATAGAATCGTCCCACTTTTTTCCCGATAATCAATATGTGCAACCTCGCAGGTTAATTAGAACATCGCTGTAATCTCTTTGATTTACGCACGGCACAAACATGAACTGAACCGTCTGGTCATTGTCGAGAATCAATTACAAGACCACAGTGACCTGTATTGTCGACTACTCAATTTGACCTTTGACCCCTGCAAAGACTAGCTGTGTACAAAAACTAGCATGAGGATTTATAAGAAGTATCGCATTGCCAACAGAACATTATGTTTGGAAATTGAGATCTTTCAGATTTTATTCTTGACGCTTCATTGGTTGGACGCCCTTCAATACCATCGACATGTGTTCAAAGTGACCTAGAATCACGTTAGTTACACTACTTGAAGAAGATTCAATCTATGAATACCGACGATGAAAGAGACTTCTCAAGGTACTCCATTGCAAAGCTAAACTTCAAGATCGACTGACAAACGAGATTCGTCCTCCGTCCTTCACTGCAGCTTTCACTGCAAAGCAACTATCTGAAACTAGAGTCCAAAAACAAGGCATTCGTATTTCAACACCATACGGAGCTCTTCCGACCCGCCATTCGAAATGAGCTTAAAAAAAATCGTTTTCAAATACCAATTTCCCGCATGGCCACGACAACCAACGTATGTACAGGAAAAGCAGAAACGCACAAATCTGGGTTAAGAGTGGGTTAAAAACTCCTCATTATTTCACAAGAGAGGCGTCGTACGTGGTTAAGAAGTATTCCCAGTCATCCCTCGGGCTTTCTCACAACGATTCATTAACTGCAAGTATGATAAGCTTTTACAGATGCTCCACAAACCATCGAGCTGTATAAAGTCAGAAGTTTCGTTTGACTTGCAGGAGAATTATGTCGTCAAAGTGGGTGAATATTTTCTCAATTGTATGGGAGCTCTTTGAAAAAATATAGGTTATTAATTGAAAATTGATATTATCATTCGATACTGAATAGTAGCATTCCAAGTTTATCTGACCAGTACCGAACAAATTAAAGTGGCATATTCAAATGAAAATACAGTTGGGAAGCATTCCTTCTAGAAACAAAAAAAAAGAAAACCACAAGAAATACAATCCAATATAGTGTACAAATTGAACTGTGGAAGCTGTCACAGATGATATGTTGGGCAAACCGGCCGATATCTTGAAACACGAGTTTCAGGACACATGGGGGACTCCAAGAAACTAAATATAAAAAACCTCACAACCCTCGGCGGACATGAAAAAGAATGCGGAAACTTTTTTGATTTTGATCATGCAATTATTTTAGATGTTCAACCTTATTTATCCAAAAGACTTTTGAGCGAAATGATACATACCTATCTTCAAATGCGATAGTGTTAATACTAGAAGAGATGTCTATGGCCCTTCAACTGCATATTTCAATTTGATACGTGAAATACCTAAATAATTCACTCTTTTTTCATTCTTTTTCTTTCTGTCATTGATTAAAAAACAGATACCACCTTATCACAATCACAGATGAAGCCATTCATTTGTTACATGTCGTTTTTTGTTGGTGTTGTCCCGGAAGTGTGTCTGTTGCAAGATTTTTTTTCCATATGTATCAAATATGTCTGATGGTTTTCAAAATAGTAATATCAAAATGAAGAAACTACTTTTCGGTGAGAAATTTAATTAGGAACTCATTATTTCTTGTAGAATTGAAACGACAATAATTGTATAAGTTTTGTGGCAGCTATGTTTTGAAAATTCATTGTTACAGAGCCCTGAAGACGAATTTAATTAAATTCGAAAAGTTGGCAGGCAAAAAATTTATCCTGTTTCCCAAACAACCTTTGACCAGAAAAATTATTGGATTACTATACTAGTTAACTGACATTATTATTATTTGTTAATCAGAAGTTGATAAAACTATACTAATTCAGTGATACTACTGAACACAATTGAATACATGATACATTAAAAAAATCGCCTTACCACCCAATTAGATTTTTGCGTAGATATTGAAAATCTGTTTCCACTTCGCCATTGGAGCTTTTTCTTTTATAAGAAAAGTCACAGCCAGAACGGTAATAACTTTTGGTTTTCTGAATTATACATATTTGCGAGAGGTTTTCATTATGTTTCATTATACTAAACCTAAATTTTAGACTAAAATTACCCAAAATAACGTTTTGATTTGTATTATGAATTTCAACGAAGTTATTACCAGAAGGACATACACATTCCGAGGAAAATATTGGAAAAATATTCACTAGTGCAACTCTAACAGAAATAAACGAATTTACAAATATGTTTTCTCTTCTCAAATGATAATACAATATTATACAAAATTAACATGTTAAAAATAAAATTTCAAAACACTATATCGAAGGTGCGAACTCGTTTCCTCCTTTTCATAAAAGCGATTTTGGTGAAGTTGGTGACACATGTGAATCACTTTAATCGTGCCACGTGCCAGTGTATGTCTGCAGTATGCAATGTAATGCCCGCTTTGAGTAGACCCATTGTGATTCGAAAGTGCATATAGATTATAACGACAAGAAGTCATATTATCTGCTGCATAATGGCTCCTGTGCTTTTTCGCTATCGCTCAATTTTTTGTAACTATTCCAGTAACCATCTCGTGTTCGATAAACATTAGATTATACTGTTGATGAAACAGGTGTTTCCAATATTTTTCAATCCATTANTGATATGTTCGCCACTGCTGTTTTCTTCCGAATAATCAAGGGTGCGATGATTCTTCTCATCATAAGACCACCGGGATGAGGAGTTTGAAGTTTAATTGCTTGAAACTGAATTGGGTAGATTCATGGTAACATTCAAGTAACACTTGAATTTTCACTGAACAATTTACAAAACTGCAACACGTGTTTCGCCTGAGCAATAGCTTGTTCAGGCGTGTTGTTACTGACTAACTTCTATCCAATTAATGCTTTATATAATATAATCGTTACTGACAGCAGATCAAACAAATTGCTGTCAACATCAGTTACAAGATGAATATGATTGACTCCATCCACTCCAAAAATCTACGAAAACAAGTCATTCTCCAGGTATATTCCACTTCAAGAAACGATAATTAGCGTAGCAGTACATTTTAAGTCAGTGACGTAAGATTGGTATTTTGATGTTAGCTAATTCGTTTGCCCCCTACATTCGTATGAATTTTTTAATTTCCAAACACGAAGAAATGCGAATTTGATATTTCATCAATAACATAACAATAACAACAAAGACTTGAACCTGGTTTACAGAACAAACGATAATTCTAGCGAACTTTTTGAAAACAATAAAGAAAAAACTTTGGTGTCGGATAGATCAGGAGTTAGGTTAGATCAGGTCCAAAGTGAGTGGGTCTATTTGACCCTCCACCGCAACCCGCAAAGGTTTATTGTGGCTCACACATATTCACACTCGGCCAAATAAACCCAGCTTCTTAACGAAGACGATTAGTTTGTATGGTGGGTGGTCTTTCAGGTCAGATGGTAAGAGTACGGCTCTGCCGAACTCTAAAAACCTGATTCGGTCCCCAGCGGGGTAGGCACAAAGTGTGTGCTCTGCTGTTTCATCATTTTCCAAACAGAGGCGACACACTGTCTTATGACAGTCCGAGTCTCTGCATATGATTATTCAAATGACAGTGACCTGTAAGATGGGCCAGTTGGACATCGTAGTTAATCCCTACTGTAGTCCAACAACTGTTTGGTATCAAGCTTTGAAGGGTTAATAACCTCTTGGAGTGAGCCAATCCTGGAAGATTCTGCCAGGATTGCCTAAATAAGTTAACTTGTGGGTCTTGCCCAATAATTTATATTGGCCAAACGGAAAATAATTTTCCCAAGGAATAAAAGAACATAGACGTATTTTTTTGAATATAAATACCAATTCTACATTTGTAAACCATATTTGAATTGAAGGGGTTATGATTTTAGGAGTGATTAATTTTTGGGAAAGAAAAGTTTTTAGCTTTCTACGACTCCATCTTGATACAAAAAAAGGAAGATTCCCTCATCCTTTTTTTGTATCAAGATGGAGTAGTAGAAAGCCAAAAACTTTTTTTCCCAAAAAATAAACCATATTATTTTGGCAGATATATTTTAACCACGACTATGAGTATCACATTTAGAAGATTAGCTTAGAAATTGCTAGATTTGAGAGTTCTGAAAATTTTCTGAATGGTCAAATAGATTGTAGTTTTTTTCCTCTATTGAATTTGTTTTCTAATGTGGAAATTGGTAATTAGTTTATTACATGTCCATTAAATTAGTTGGTAAAAATATTTCACGTTCAGAATTTCGAACAAAACTTCAGGTAGACGACCTGACAAAATTTGTTCACAATCAATGATTATTTTTGCAGGTATGTCTGGCTTCGTCTGAAAATTCTAACCTTACTATTTTGACTTGTCCTCACGATGATTTTAAATTTGACAGAAATATTCAACTCTTTTGAATTATTCTGTTACCCTCTGAGGGCAACGCATCCTCCCAATCTCTTTTATCGGTCAACGCCATCGGTCAAGATAAATTCATCAGTTCATTTTATTTGCGACAGCGTGTGCTTTTTTGGCAGAGCTGCGTGTTTCCCTTGTTTTAAGTTTTGACTTCCCAGCCATCTGTTTTCAAGATTTAAGTTCCCGGTATACGTGAACTGTTAAAAAAATGAGGCGAATGATATGGAAAACATTGTTCTACAATGTGCTACCTTGTTCTACAATGTTTTCCATATCTTCCTTGTGAAATGGCCTGAAAAATGTATTGGATTAATTTTTTTATTCGTTTCTTTTCAGGAAGCATACCGGCGGTGGGTGTGCAGTTCTCTGGTGCCTCAATACATGCGCTCGGGGGAGCGTATCCGACCTTGTCTGAGTGTCTGTGAAGACGTGGAGCAGCAGTGCCCGTATCTGTTGCCCGATCAGACTTTATCGCCGGGAGAAGCGGCCCATCCGACGCCGCAATACGCCGGGGAGCCAGCCTTTCTCTGCCTTGGTATGTATCTCTTAGATCGGCCCCAAAGGCCGGACCTGAACTCTAGAGACTTTTTCAAACAGTTGCCGTACGATTAGTCTCGAATACGAAAAGGGTTACAAAAAGACTCTGGGCCCCACGTTGGGTGCCGAGATGCAAAAATCTTCCTTAGGGACANGTATATATTGGCGAATGTAATGAATCATTGTTAGTTTATTGTATTAGTTTGAGAATGTCCATATAGGACGAAACTGCAGTAACGTTAGTTACAATTAAAAGTGGTAAAACATAAGAAATTTTCATTTCTCTTTTCATTATCTATATAACTTCTTCCACAGGAACTAGGTATTGTACTACAACCTTTCGTTTTTTCAACTGTAGAAATTCTCGGTTTAAGTTTGTGCCGAAAGAGATCTCAATATGTTGGTAGTTTTAAAAGTTGTTCTGACATCATATCTATTTCTTCTCAATATTTTAAACAAACTGAGAGCATAATGTATGACTGTTTTGGTTGATTTCCAGGTTTTGTCATGGTTTTCTTTGGTTACAATCTCCAAACGTTTCAACTGCAACTGCGGCAGTCATCTTCAGTGGTGTGGTTGAAGTGCTCCTCTTGACATGTCTTGACCACCGCAGTTGCAGTTGAAGCGTTTGGAAATTGTAACCAAAGAAGACCATGACAAAACCTGGTAACCAACTTAAACACTGTCATGTATTTTATTCATTGTATAATCTAATAGAATAATTATGTTATTGACATTTGAATCATGGTATATAAAAGCATGTGTACATTCATATTCTTGTATCTTCAGACAATAAAGTACATTTTTTATTGAACCGAATAGAATTGATTTAAAATATAGATCCGGAAAAATAATCTAAAATCGTGATGGAATATAAGATGTGCGAAACGTCTTATGCCTCTGAAAGAACCCATTATCTTTTTTTGTTTTATCGCATAGCGGATCTCTCGAGGGCATACATCTGCTTAAAGCATTCAAAGCTTTTAATACTAAACCGGCCTTTTCGCTGCTTTCCTGTTGGCTTTCCACGGAAACGAATAGATGGCTTTGAAGAAAGTGGCTAATACATGGTAAATACACTGCTCAGTTCAGGTATTTTTGCATTAACGTGAGCCTCATCCACATTTATGGATTACTTCAAAGCTAAATAGTGGTATTGAGAAATCGCAATTTATGTTTCAATACTGCCACATCGGTAGGGTTATACAGGGTGTAACTGAATAAGTGTAAAACATTTAAAGAAGTGATTCCTTATCGAAAAAAAGATAGGATCTTTCATATTAAGGAACTTCATTGGAGCATCCCTTCTTAAGACACAGCCCCTTAAAGGGGGTACATGAAATTTGTATAACACTTTTTTTCACAAGCACTGAAAAAATTAAAATATTGAAATTAACCTGACGTTTTGTACTACCAAAAAGAGACTTAGCCAGTAATTTATTTGGTTTACCCATGGTTGTAAGGGGTGGAAAACGCAACCCCTAAAATGTATTTCCAATTTAACTTTTTGTCTTATTATTTGTTTACCATTTGAAAATTCATTTCCGATAGCCTGTTGCATTCTAAACAAAAAACGTCTCTTGGGTTTTTTGCCCAAATTAAACCAGTTCGCAGCAAAAAATTATTTTACGAACAACTACAGAGATACATCGTCATAAATGCGAA